TGAAAAAAAAAAAAATAAAAAACAAAAATTACCGCACTCTTTTAATATAAAAAAAAAAAAATAAAATCAATGATTTGTTTTCAAGGGAGGTGGCGGGTAACTAACACCCCACCCCCAGTGTGTTTAGGTTGCATACGTTGGACACACGAACAAAGAACCCGCCTGCCACGCCCTTCCCAGCCCCAGCCCCAACCCCAAACCCCCCCCCCCCCTCGCCACACCCGAACACCAGTACCGAGTTCGCCGACAGCGGTGCCTGTGAGCGTTGCGGCGAGAGCAACCGCTGTTCCGTGGATGCCGGCAGGGGACGAGCGGAACGTGGCAAGGCGCGTCAGACACTGCTCGGTAATGTCTGCTGCGCGTGAGGGCACGGCCTGCACCAGCCCGCGCAGGCACCTTGCAGCCGTGATGCGCACGTCAGAGGACGGGTGGAGAGCAACGCTGAGGATGACCGGCAGAAGCTGATCCGCAACCTGATGGTGATGATGGTGACGGTGGTGGTGATGGGGGGGGGGTGCGGGTGGTAATCGGACAAGCGAGAAACTGGGGTCATGTTATCGCCTCAAGAACGCACACACGTGCAAACGAACCACCCTGTGCACCTTGTTGACGGCATTGCCGATGATGTGTGTGAGATCTGAGATTGCGTCAAGGGCGGTGAGGGCGCGCCAACTGGACGGAGCGTCCGGACCCTCGGGCCGGTCCACCATGCGCATATCATCAGCAACAGACGTGCACAGCGCCTGCAGTGGTGGGCGGCGGCGGTTGTGGTGGTGGCCATGATGAAAATGTGAGGTGAAGTGCAACACGAGCAACAAACGAGCAGCAGCAACAGCAACAACATTGGGCTTGCAAGGCCAAACGCACGCAAAAAGGGCATCACATGCGTCCACGCAAAACAACAACAACAACAACAACAACAACAACAACAATAACAACAACAACAACAACCACAACAATAACAACAACAACAACAACAACAGCCGTCACGCGGTAGCGTGATCTGTGTCAGCATGGAGCAGAGAGAGAGCAGCGATGGTGCAGCAACCAACCAGCAGGGTGTCTGTTCGCCCTTTGTGGCCGAGTTGCTTCCCAAGTGACGTGCGGACGATGAACTGAACACACCGGCGAACGCGAAGTGCATCCTCGTGCCCCGACATGATCTGCTCGTGATGATGGTGGCGGTGGTCGTGTGTGGACGATAGCGGTGGTGCCATAATGGCGTGGATAATGGTGGTATTCGTGAATGTTCAGAGTTAAGATAAGAGCCTTGTCAAAGACAAGTCAAAGACAAGTATTGTCGACGAAGCACAAGAAGGCGCGCAGAACACCGCGCAATGTGCAATCACGTTCGCGTATGCTTGACCACACTTTCGCACACACACATGCAAGCAAATACGGCTGGGTGCCACCAACCTTTGGGTTGCTGACGATGTGGAGGAGGGCCTTGACAATATCGCCAGTGTGCTGCTCGAGCCACGTCGGCCCCATCGCCTGGAAGAACAGAACATACGCCTCCGTCACCCCAACACGCACCTGCCACACGTGGTGGTGGTGGTTGTGGGTGGTGGTTGTGGGTGGTTATGAGAGGAGAACGCGAGGAGGGAGTGTGGATTGAAAGTGTAGCTATGCCGGTTGAAATGAGACATCGTGTGTTTGCACATGTGTTTGTTTGTTTGTGTGTGTTGGGGCAACTGCAAGTCAACGGATGCACACGTTAAACGCCTTTACACATTCGCGCACAATACCTCCGGAGTCTGCGCAAACTTGACAAAGTGTGTCTCCAGCATTGCAAGCATGCCATTTGTTGTTGAGAACTTGGCGGGTTTCGTGTCCTGCAGACAACAAAGACAAGCAGACACACGTGAGCGCAGGCGGTGCGATTGGGGGGGGGGGGGCGCGGAGGGGAACGTATGCTTGAATGTTGGCAAGTGCAAGTGCGTGCGCATGGAGTTGGTTGGTTGTTGATTGGATGAAGCAGAGATGACGCGATATGAGGTAGAGAAGCGACCACACCTTCCATGTCGCTTGATCGAGAGCCTTCTTGCAGATGGCAGCGATCGTCTCTGCAAGAACAATGCGCACCACATGCGTGGACGACTGCACACAGCACACGCACAGCAGAGCAAGGGTGTGTGTGGTGGAAAAAGTCAATGAGACAATTGTATGACAAGTGTTCCAAAAACCGGTGAGCTGAGCACAAGAAGAAGAAGAAGAAGAAGAAGAAGAAGAAGAAGAAGAAGAAGAAGAAGAAGAAGAAGAAGAGCAACAACAACAGCACCGTGGCAGGTGGATGACAGACCTCAAAGGCTTTGCACAGCGCCACAATGCACCCGTCCATATCGCTTCGCTGGATGAGTGCACTCTGACATCAAAAAACGGCGGCGGCGGCGGCGGCGACAACACACATGCCAGTGACACCACGAAAGGGGTGAGGGACGCATGACGAGAGCATATGTGGGCAGACGGCCAGGTAGACGAGTAAACTGACCAGCGCAGCTAGACGAACGTACACATGCATGAATGCGCAGGGCCAAACGTACACACCCACAAGAATACGCGCACGCACACATACACACCCACAAGAATACGCGCGCACACATGCACACAAAAACAAACAAAGAACAGTTTGGGGGTGATTTGTGGCGCGGACCTGGCTTGAGATGGCCTGCATGAGATTGGCTGCAGCGATACGAACATGCAGCGACCGGTCACCGATGCACGCCCTGATGGTGGCGATGGTGGTGGCAATGGTGAACAGGTGGAAGACATGTGTTGTGTGTGTGAGTGTTGTGTGTGCGGGGGTTGTGTATTGTGTGCGCGCGTGTGCGAGAGAGAGAGAGAGAGAGAGAGAGAGAGAGAGAGAGATAGAGAGAGAGATAGAGAGAGTGTGTGTGTGTGCGTGTGTGTGTGTGTGCATGTGTGTGTGTGTGCGTGGATGACATGAGGTGCAGGAGTGGGTGGAAAGCAGGGCAAGCTTGGTTGCATGTTCAAATGCTCACTTTGCTTGTTTGTACATGTCCTTCATGTTGTTTTCAACGAGATGGCCTGGAGACGTGAGGTGCAACATGGTAGTGGTGGTGGTGGTGGTGATGATGATGATGATGATGATGATGATGATGATGATGATGATGATGAAGAGAGGTCAACAGGCATTGTGGCAGAGATGTGTGCGGTGGGTCGGGAAGTGCGAGTTCATTATGTAACATGAGGTGTTACACGCACACACCTGTGTTTGCCACCATGTGCTCCAACGCACACAGCATTTCCACGCGGCCTGGCGTCTGTGTGTGGTTGTATATGTGCGTGAGTGAGTGAGTGTGTGAAGGTGTGTGTGAGTGTGTGAAGGTGTGTGTTTGTCGGACATGAGGGAGGCATGGTGGTGGTGGTGGCAGTGGTGTTCACCTGCAAACATTGTCATACATTCACAAACACACACATACACACACACATGCACACGCACACACACGCACACACACACACACACACATATTCCCACGCACCCCGAGGCTGCGTGCAGCTTTCAAGATGGCCACGACGGCCTCTTGTACAAACGGCGCCATCTAATGAACCAATGCACACGCACACACAAGTGTCTATGAGTGACATGAGAGCGCTCAGCATACTCCAAGGTTGAACACGTGCATGAGACACACACACACACACACACACACACACACACACACACACACCATGCCGCCGAGTCGCTCGTGGAGACGACCGAAAGCGGAGATGGAGCCAAGCTTGGCCTGCACGCTGGAAGGGCTGTCATCTCGCGACTTGAGAAGTCGGTGGAACTCATCAATCGTCACAGACAGCTTGGCAGTGCCAGCAGCATGAAACAGTGCCGCAAATGCGCACGCAATCTGATCCCTGTGACACACACACACACACACACACACACACAAACACACACAAACACATGTCAATTCGTGGCCATAAGAGCCATGAACAAGTGTTCCAAGGTGTATGTGTACACACAACGTGCATGCACACGCACAAGAACGCAGGCACAGATGTTGGATGCTGGACGTACCGAACTGGCTTGCCGTATGGCGTAGACAGTAGGAAGAGCAGGATGTCCAGCACCTGCTTCAGGCCTTTCTTCATTTGATCCTGAAGCAGCAACCAACGAGAGGAAGGTGCACGATGAAGGCCCATCCAACAGCGACGGAGGTCGTGTCAGCCAGGTTGACGAACAGGTGGACGGAAAAGAGGCACACGACAAGGGCACAGATAGAGACTTGCGTACGCACACACACACACACACACACACACGCACACAGAGAGAGAGAGAGAGAGAGAGAGAGAGAGAGAGAGAGAGAGAGAGAGAGAGAGAGAGAGAGAGAGAGAGAGAGAGAGAGAGAGAGAGAGAGAGAGAGAGAGAGAGAGAGAGAGAGAGAGAGAAAACACCACACACACACACAGAGACACAGACGCACCACACACACACACCATACACCACAGACACACACACAGACACACACACAGACACACACACAGACACACACACAGACACACACACACCACACACGCACACTGTTCACTCGCATCAGCTGACCTTGGACGCGTGTTGAAGGGAGAACTCAAGCATCTCCAGCCACTGGATGATTTCCAGTGGGTTCTCTCCTTTGCCAGCAGAAGCGAGCTGCTCGCTTGTCAGCGCCGGCAGCCCAGCCATCGTGTGCAACCGCGGTGGAGTGTGTGTGTGTGTGGATGTGCGTGGATGTGTGGGATATTGTGCAGTTCGTGCACAGCAAAACCAGAGCAAACCAAAACAACTGGTTTCGACAGCATAAAAAGTAGTAGCGAGCGCTGGAACTTCGGTTTTTTCGGTCGGCTGCCTTCTTCGCAACGCATCGGACTTAGCTGTGTCTGGGTGTGTGCCACACGATGTGGAGGAGGAAGAACCGCTCGCATCACCCCAGCAGCAGTGATAAGGTTCGTGAATGATGCCTTGTGCACAACCTCACGCACGCTTGAGGAGAAGCGAGTGGGAA